ACAAAAAAAACAAACAAGTGAAAAAGTTTTTTTTTTTTCTATTACCTACTGACAGTAATCTGTATATTCATGAATAGAGGCTGTACAGCGTGGGTAATTCGATAAATTTAGAGTAAATATTAGTTGTTTTCTGTAACTGTGACTTACTTGGTGTCATTTGTCCTCTGTTTTCCAGGGCAGTGCAGAATCTTTTTTATTTTTTCTGGCAAAGTCTAATCCTCTGGTATCCTTTGTAACCAGTGGTTTGCACCTTGTTGTAAATTGCAATACATCAGCTGCATTTCCACTCATGAAGGTGTCTCTTGACAATGAGCCACCTGCAGCCGCAACAGCTGTTGACTGGGCTGTTTGTCGTGGAAGGTTTTATCTTAACCCAGGAAAGAATTCTGCAATCGTCCAATTCATTGGTCTTCCAGACCTTTTGATGTTGCTAAGCTCACCAGTGCATTCATCCTATCCAACATTGATTTGGCCACTCTTTTTGGTATACTTGGAATCAGTTCGACAAAGACTAACAAGAGAACAGGTTTTACCTCTCCAAACCGCTTGATCAAACCAACACTCATCTATAATGTTATCTCTGCGTTTTGCAGTTGTCCTGCTGGTTTGTTCAGGTGGTGGCCTCCAGCGAGCACTGAAGCAGTTTGCAGCAGAATGTGAGGCGGCAGGAACAAGAATTGGGACCTCCAAATCTGAGGCCATGGTCCTCAGCTGAAAAAGGGTGGAGTGCCCACTCCGGGTCAGGAACAAGTTGCTGCCCCATGTGGAGGAGTTGAAATATCTCGGGATCTTCTTCGCGAGTGAGGGGGGAGGGGAGATTAACAGACACTTTGCAGCCACGCCTGCAGTGATGTGGATTGTGTTCCAGTCCGTCATGGTAGACAGAGCTGAGCATAAAAGAGAAGCTCACCATTTACCGGTCCATCTACGACCCTACCCTCACCGATGGTCATGAGCTTATGTAGTGACTGAAAGTACGAGATGGCAGATATCAGCAGAAGCAAGCTTTCTTCAAAGGGTGGCTGGCCTCTCCCTTAGAGAAAGTGGTGAGTTCACTCATCCGAGTAGGGCTCAGAATAGAGCCTCTCCACATCGAAAGGAGCCTAGCCTAGTAGAATGCCTCCAGCTGTAGGTGTTCCTGGCACACCGAGGACCTCCTGCCAAACTAAGCTAGAGGTGGTGGCTGGTGAGAGGGAAGTCTGGGCCTCTCTGCTCAGGCTGCTGTCTCTGTGACCCATGCCCCAGATAAGCAGAAGAAATGGGTGGAGGCCTGGATGTATGAATAGAAGTAGTCTCCACTATCTCACAAGACTATTGCAGGTTCTTGATTTCAAACTCATACAAAACATTAAGCAGTTGCTCTTTAACAGGAAACTAAATAAAGGCTTCTGAGGCGTTATGGTGCCACTACATTCAGCACCAATTAGGCATTTTTTGGTAAGAAGATTAAACCAAAATAAATGCTCAGCTTTGTACAGTGTCCAAGACAAAACACACAGGAGACAAGAAATTCAACCAGGGAAAAGTTGGTGTTCTCTGTATTTATTCTTTTCTTTTTCTTCCTTTGCTGTGCTCTTTGTGAGGAGCATAAATATTTTACAGAGCGAGAACATCAGTCTGGTTATTTACAAGATAAAATAAATGACGTACAACTCACAATGTCAGCTTGTGTTTGGAGAGCTGGAGGAGGAGGAGTAAAGGGAAGAAGGGAAAAAAAAGAACCTACAGCCGTTTTACAGTTTGACTTGGAGGACCTAAGTACCCCAACCTCGACTCTGACTTCACAAACAGAAACAAAAAAAAGGAGCTAATAGACTGTGGCGCGATGGCACGACTGAACACACGGGAGCAGCAACAGCAGAGGTCTAAACCAGCAAATTATTCCATAGAGAGAATAAAGCAGATAAATAAAGAGCGACACAAAATTCCAGTGTCTTCAGCAGTCATCAGTCCATTTCTGGTGACTTTCATGCTCCAAGGGAGGGGGGGGATTATTATGGCAGTAGTTCATTTAACAAGAAAGTTTCCTACAATGACCACTTTGAACACGGTGATAAACCTGCAATCGGAACCAGTGACTTTTCTGTCCTCTTCAGTTTGAACTCAACCGGAAAAACTTGTGACTTGTGAACGTCAACCTTCAGACTTCCTGGCTGCCCCCTTTAGACAGTATAACCGAGTACTGTTTGGATGACAGTGGAAGTGCTTGCGTCCTCCTGTTTTGTGCAGTTTCAATTTGGAAAATAATAATCTCAATATTAAAACACGAAGACTGCAACTGAAGACTTTTTTCATTATCTGTTTAATTATTTTCACACTGCCCAGGAATACATCAAATTCCTTATTTGGATTAATTAGCAGCTCAAAACAAAGAGATCTTAAAAGTATTGTCATGAAAGACATCAAAACAACGGCCTTTTTGATTTTCAGATGGTCACAAGATGTGAACTCCACCTGGTGTAAACCTGGCAGGTAAGCAGAAGCAGTTTCCACGGGAACAGGAACGTGAACCAAGCTCTCTTGATTTACTTTGAGATCATTCAACTTTTGATCTCCATGTTCCTCCCTGGCAAAACTTGAGGTGCCCAACAAAAACACTGAATAATTCATTTATTTTAAAAAAGAAAGTTAGCTGTGATGTATCACCTGTGTTCAACATACCCACACACGAGCTCCACCACAGCTGAGGCACAGCCCAAACGCCAGGCCCGCTCATCAATACTCGCTCAGATCCTGACATCAATCGATACGCCCGCAGGTCTGGTGTCTAATAATTCAGGCAAACAAATGCGACTCGTTCAAACCCGGGTTAAACCGGACTGAGCCGTTCAAACCTTCAGGTAAAGTCAGAGATGAACCCGAAGACCGTCCGTGCCGAGTGTGCAGTTTTGAAAGGAGGAAACATCTGCTGTGTCAGGAGCAATGAAGGAGGCTGAGGAACTCATGCCTACAGGAGGTACAGAAATAACACTGAGGCCTGCATGGAAAAAAACCCACCAATATTAAATCAATGCTGCTGGTTCTCCATTAAGGAGAAAACTGAGGTTGTTTCCTCATGCCAGTGTCAAGCTTGCCAGCATGTTGTTTGTGTGTTTGTAGCTCTTCACTCACACACAAAGAAAATCGTGAATGGAGGAATACATTCCTATTTAGAGATTGAAAGGCACTCGTGCTAAACCGTGTAATGGACAGCACTAGTGGGTCCCAACTCACAAGCATTCAGCTGAAAACAGGAAATGATCCGACTCAAAAGAGCCCCAAC